TGGGCAATTTTGTCAGCGAACATTGCCAGTAAAATTTCCCATCACGATTGTAGCAAATGACTGCATCCAGCTCGATTGTTCAAACTCTAGTGAAGCTCTTTCAAAGATGACTGATAAACCTGAATACCAATAATTATCACAGCTCATGGTCAATTGATTGAAATATTTAATTCTAGGGACTGAAAACTCTATAATTTAAGTAATATATATGCTAAAGCATAACCTAGATAGTACTAGCTCGAAAGAAAAAGTATCAGTGGGAAAGCTCCTCAAAAAATAGCTAACATTACTAAGTAGTAACATCCCACATACTATCTTGTAAGTGACTTGGGATCTCGAGGCATCTCAAAAACATCTCCCCATTAACATGTTCCCCACCGGAGCCATATCTTAACAGTAGAAGTGGACCCGTGAAGCCTTGAACAGATGTTATCCAATACTTTTCACCATTCCCACTCAGTATTCAAGGCTCTGACAGGGACATGTATGTTTGTCACTAACATCCACTTTGTGTCTCTTACTATTTTGGTCTCACAGATATCGTGCATGCGGAATCTCCATCTCTTTAAGAATCAGACGATGCCTACATGTTTTTTATTCTTTAGGGTTCATTCGTTTTCCTCGTCATATTTTTTGGTTCTTTATTAACACGGTCAATTGACCTCATTTCCATAGACCTCCTCTGAACCTTGAGTCTTCACTACATTCGTTCGTTAACTCGATTTTCCGTCGAAGCACAATTCGGGATGATACAGTTTCCTCCCACAGCGGCTCACAGTGATAGTGATGACCGCGGAGAGTTCCAATCTCTCCCTCAACCGCCATCACCCACAGTAGCAAGATGGGGCGAATTTCATAACAATGAATCAGTCACATCTCTAGACACCATTCAAAACAGTCGACCCGGTACTCTGCGATCATCATCGAACATAAACTTAATAAACAATTATAGCTCGGCAACTCTTTTACCTGGCGCATCAACACCTGGCCCTTCAACGCCTGGTCCAGCATATGGCAATTCGTTGAACGCCTTTAATCATGGCCGCTCTTTCTCCGATACCTCATCCTACGATGGAGCAACAGCATGCCCGACACCAGCTTTACAAGATGAAAGTATCAGTTATGAAGAATTCAAGAAGGAAGATCCAGCGACCGCTAGAAAAGTCAGACATTTCAATACCTTCAACAAGCGATTCGATACTTCTGTCTATCAAATCGAAACACTACACAAGCACGATGACGAAATTTTCCTTCCCCCTTGGAAAAGAAACATGTATCGATTCTCACCACTTTTCACATTGTTAGCCTGTGGCTCGTACTTCCTTTACTACGCATACCGTATCATATGCATTGTTGATGTTCAGAAAGCATATGACAAGGTGTATATCATGGCATGGCTTTTCATTGCAGCTGAAGGTTGCGTTGCTTGTAAGTACTTGTGTTTTGACATTTCCTCCGATTCCCCGTGTTCGATGTGTTGTTGGAGCCGGAAAATTCCCAGTTTCCTTCACGTAAAAATCCTTCCGCTTATCACAACTCCCGAAAATTTATTCTGCCGCCAAGTTTTGCCAAGAGATCGCACACTTACGTCAAATAGGTCCCGCATTACTCCACCAACTGTACCAAATGTTATCCATTCGCGGTCGTTCACGACCAAAGCTTCGTCTTCGTGGTGAAGAAGTACCTACTGTTGATGTTTTCGTTACGTGCTGCGGTGAAGATGTAGATGTTGTTCTTGATACGACCCGAGCTGCTGCTGCTGGCGATGTAAGTGTTTAATTTCCAATTATCCTTGCCACCACGTAAATATTAACAGAAATGACAGTATCCTCAAGACCGTTTCCGCGTTGTCGTTCTCGATGATGGAAAAGATCCCGAATTAGAAAAGGCTGTCAACGAACTCTCTCTCGAATATCCTAATGTCTATTATCATGCCCGTATAAAAATCAAGGGTGTTCCACATCATTTCAAAGCTGGTAATCTTACAGGTGGAACCAATTTCGTGGTCGATTTGGAAGGAGGTGAAGCCGAGTTTATCGCAGCTTTGGATGCGGATATGATTCCAGAAGCAGATTGGTTGAGAGCTATTCTTGCTCATATGGTTATTGATGATAAGATGGCTCTTGTTTGCCCACCTCAGGTATGTGTTTTTCTCAACTTTATTATGCGGAAACATCAGAGCTAGAGAACTAACAACACAATTAGCTTTTCTACAACGTTCCTCAAAATGATCCGCTTTGTCAATCCCTCGATGCCTTTGTTCACGTCATGGAACCAACAAAGGATGCCAATGGAGTAGCATGGTGTACTGGATCCGGTTATGCTATCCGTCGTGCAGCCCTCGACGATATTGGAGGCTGGCCCGTTGGTTCCCTCGCTGAAGATACCTTTACCTCATCCCTCCTTCTTGGTGCTGGGTGGAGAACCGCCTTTTGTCACGAAGCCCTACAATTCGGTACCGTTCCCGACACCATCACCGGTCATCTCAAACAACGTACACGATGGACATTAGGAACACTGCAAACCGCAGTCAAATTAAAATTCTGTCTATTTGGAGATTTGGTAAAAGGCATGAGCTTTTTCGCCCGTCTCTCTGCATTCGTCTTCGCCATCGACGCGTTTTTCAAAATCTTCCTTTGCATCGCTCTCCTCACCATTCCTATCGTTCTTATCTCTGGTGGTCAACTAGTAGCCTACAATACCGAAACTCAATTAAAATGGCAAATCAGATTATGTTTCATCCAACTCGTGCTTACACGTCTCAACGAATGGGTCACCTATCTTCCCTCTGGATATCGTTTAGCACAACGTGATTCTGGCGCTCAATTGTGGATGGCTCCTTTCCACGCCAAGACAATCATCATGTCCTTTTTGCTTCCTTCCTGGCTCGGTGGAAAACCCATGGCTTTCTCCAGTTCCGGTAGTCAGAAGAGCGATATCAACGAGCGCGATCCACGTACGCGCGCAGGAGTCTTCAGACGTCTCTGGGTCATTCTTTGGGATTGTCAATGCTACATGCATCTCCTCTATATTCTCTTCGTCGTTGCAGCCGTCACTTACAGTACCGTCCGCGGCCTCGCTCTCGATTCTGAAAATAATACCTTGAAGAAAAAGCTCGTTTACCTCCTCACCCATGCTTTCTGGCCGCCTATGCTCTGGATGATGTGTCTCACAGCTTGTTTTGAGCCAATCCGCTATGCGATTTGGCCACCAACAATGCCAGACAGAGAAGAGCTTTTGGATCGCGATGACAAGACGCAGATCGCGAGACCAAAGGAAGAGTGGAAGAAAGCGAGATACGCAAAGACGACTTTCTTCCACGAGTTTCAATACACACTATTAACGGCATTTACATGTATGGTTTTTGTGGGGGCGTTTTTTATCGATATCTAAGGTATGATTTGGCGGAGTAGTGGGGGAAAGGAATGTATATGTTGATGATTTTACACGGCGTTAATTTAATATCTGGATGTGCATTGGAGCTTGATATTTACTATCTAGTAATCTAGTTGCTACATGTTTTGCTGTACATGATGGAGTTCGGATACCGAATAATAATTAACGTATATTGTACGAATAGGATAAAGACGGGGTTAGATGGAAACATAATCTGACAATAGAATCAGATGAGATAATTCTCTTCAAGAATGAAAAAAATAAATAATATCATATGAACAATTCTTTTACTTGCAGACTTCACTGAGGTGCGTGGTATGGACATAGATGATGTGGTGGCTTGCTCTAAATGGATCGGCGGGCCACCAGTTGGGACAGACTACCCTGATTGGAGCTGGCGATTTCTCTGGAAAGATCAGATCAGGTACTTTGAAATCTGACATCAACGATTTAACATTGATTAAACAGATAAACTCCCAATTTAGGATTAGATAATTAAAAAATAGACCAGCTACCAAAATTGAAAGTTGGGAAGTGTTCTTCCTATCGGTACTTGGCTCTATTAGTGTAGCGATCTAGGAATCTTAATTCATAAGATTACATTTCACAGAATATTCTCATTTAAAAGTTATACTGCAGAGGACTCGCGATCAGTACCTATCTAGACTTGAAATAGAACTCATCTTTCTTCCATAATCCAGATTTTCCGCATGCAAATTCCCTCTTTCTCCATTACCGATATTAAAGTTTCGGTTCGACATTTATTCGTCACCAACCAATACCATACAAATACAATACAACACACTTAACTCAATCTACTACCTCCCAACATCCAGTATCGATGCAAACTACGCTCGATATCCTGGAAGTACATGTGGAACTTTCCATCATACGATTAAGCATCATGAATTTTTTATTTATTCTCAAGCTGTAAAAACCATGGGAATTTTCCTCAATCCCCGGAACTTGGAAGTCTTAAAGGTTGAGATTTCGATTGTAGAGGTTTGGGATGGGATGTTAGATGCGGGCGGGTGATGACAGAAGATATGGAAGCTAGGGAGTGCGGGGGTGCTAGCCGAGAAGTAGACTAAGGGGTTGTGTCGTGATGGTGAGGCTTCGGTTCTGATGTGTATTGTATTAGTGGAGAGGTGCTAGATTAGTGGCGTGGCGATTTGAGTTATGGAATGTATGTTTACGTACGCGAGACGGCGATATAAGAAGAGCAATTGATCTTTTTGTCTGTGAAACTGGGTAGGTGGGTAGCTTGTGGGTAGCCTAATGGGTGATAATGTTGGCTGCATCTGTTCTCATCTGCTACGGAGATTAAATCACTTGATGGTGGATAGTTGGGAAATAAAAATCTGGAATGAAATCAACGACATGTCTTGTTAATTGATCAGATGAATTAGTCGGCCAATAGAGTCATGCGTCAGTCATTCTAGAATGGGATGTTCCGAAAGATAGTATTGGAGGTACATTTTTACTTTCGTGATCGACTACCGTGTTCTGAGCCCTTTGTGTTGCAGTTGATTTAGTTCCATATTCGTGACTATTTCGTAGAATCGGAATCAGATTGATATTATCTTTTGGACGTGATCGCCGACATGGCGAATCTGGGGAGAATCATGTAATTTACTCAACTATCTGGTGGTCGTTATCTTATATTGACTTAACTAGATCGGGCGTGCCTGATGTGTTGGCTATTGATAGAATATACCAAAAGGTGATTTAAATGCATCATTACTCGAGCATTCTACTCTTGTACTGTGTAGTGTGTATATTGCATCTAGCAAGAGAGAATGATATTCTAGCATTTAACTTCACCTAGGCACTCAACATCAACGGCAAATACCTTACCGAAGAGTACAAGGATTTATATGCTTGCTTCGCCTTATTCGACAGGCGTTGTATTCATGGATCGAAAGTTATCGCGGATATTGACATGGCCCAATCCATTGATTGGCCCAAAGCACAAGGGAAAGAGGCCGGCATTAAAACTCAATACGTGACGGAAGAGCCAGATGAGAAGTTTATCAAAGATCTTTTTGTTGGCTTTGTCGCCGTGGTACTGGGATTCATCCCCGTCATCGGACCTCTTGTGGCGTTTGGCTTCACTGTCACGTATGAGCTGTTGGAAAATTCGGAAAAGTTCACAAAGGCTGCAGGAGTTGGTGGCAAAGCACCAGCCTTTACACAGGCGTGTGTCGATTCTCGTGAGGGATTGAAACCTATAGTCAAGGCGGGTTTCAAGGCTGTATTCAAGGGGCATTTGCAAGAGGCTCCTAAAAAAAGTATTCAAGTCGATACCGGCGAAGAGAAAGTCGAGAACGGCGATGAAGAAGATACACCCCATCTTGTCATTGAAGCGGGAGAAGCAGAAGTGCTTCAAGCTCGTGGAAACTTTGTTGCTTAGCTTTTGGATTTGAATTGGGAGGGACTAGGGTTTTTATTGAATCTGAATCGTACTTGAAATACTATGCTTGAGAAATTATCAAATGAAGTTCGAAGTCCTTGACAAAGAAATCCCAGGTGAGAATATTGTGTGAACGGTTAGGAAATTTGTGTGCTTTTCCCGACAAACATTAGACGAGTTGTGATTATTGTATGGGCAATGCGTGATATAGTAGACTGCCAACTTCAAAGTCTTCATATGAAAAGGCATCGATGCAAGATAGAGCGATGTAGGGTCTTGATTCAAAATGCTCCGAGATTGTCAGGCGATATACCATTGATGTCGTGGTATTACGCGTGTATCTCTGTAAATGATCTCATTCCGGTGAAGTTTTTTGACCGTTATTGGAAAAGATGATGAAAAACTCTTCCTCGCAGTTATATCATAATTTTAACGAATTGTAGTATGCAAATTATAGGACCATTTCAATTAACATTATGTTCCTGTCACCGTGCAGCCAGCCGTGCGTTATATAATGTTCAACGTGTAGTCATGAAGTCAGACATTTGCGAGAAATTACCCTGAGTCTCTTGAAGCAGCAGAAAGACTGTCTTCTGTCATCCACGTGACGATACGAAGGGCATATGATCCTTCCGTCCATATCCAACTATTATGTTTTATGAGCTACAATTTACTCTCACACAATTACTTTTTGAACTATTAAATAGAATCTACAAATAACATTTCATGAGTTGTCTTTATATACTAGTCTATGATTCTTTAGTATTAGTGATTGATTCATTTTGCTACTACATTAGAACCTTTACTGTTAAGATAGGATGGCCTAAACGTTTATGCCTTAAATTACAGGCTTCATACTTCGAGCCCCATTAGATAGATTGAAAAATAGTATAACTTACCGCATTAACTGGATTAGAATGAGATCTTTGGTTATTAGTCAAACTGGATTAATGAATCATATTCTTCTCTAACTAAAGAATTTTTTGATTTTTTTTGAAGTATAAAAGAATATTTAAATAGGCTTTATACTTTATATTTAACGTAGTTTAACACCGAGTGGCCCATATCACCGAGTGGCCCACTTTCACCTCAATTTACACTTTCAAACTTATATTATTCAATAACAATCGAATTAATTAATTGAAATTATTAAGAATCTAATAATCTAGAATCTATTATATTATTTTGATAGATTCTTATATTATATCCTATCTTTTCATATTTACTATAATATCAATTAAAAAATACTTTTTTATTAGAATTCCTTTCTTTTTAATACTTATTATATTAAATCTAAATATCAATCTCTTACTAAAATAATATATCAAAAGCCTTTTATTCAATAAACACTTCTTTTTAATATAATTAAGTTTTTTTTATATATTAATATTTATTTAATACTTTATTTACTACCCGAAGTATACAATTCTTTATATTTAAAAGTATATTCTTATAAGCTAATCTCTTTATACCCTTAGCTAAAGCTAATACAGTTTCGAATATAAATATAGAAAAATTTGATTAATAACAAATTATTCGAGATTTAACTAATATTGATTAAAAAAAAGCTTCAATTGAATTACAAAGAATTTAAAAAATTCATTAATTTAGATTGAAAAAAGGGAAAATAGATATACAAATTCGAATATCTAATTTTGAGAATATAGTTTTAGAATTAAATAAAATTAAACCTATTCCTCGAAACCCTACTTTTATATTCTGAGAAATAATTGATTCTTGATATACAGCTTTGAAAACTATAAAGAATTCAATTTTCGAAATATAATTAATATATACCTTAATAAATTCATTAATTTAAGCACTATATAAACATTTCAGATTATTAAAATAATTAATATCAAATAATTGAGTTAAATAACTTAAATGCAATAATAAATTTAGATATATAATATTATTCTTTTTACAATATATTTGAAAAGCTATTGATTTGTGGCTTTTATGTTCATTTAATACTAATATTCGATATTTGCCCTCTCTTCGATTCTTAGTATATTTATCGAAATATTTCAATTATTCTAAATCTATCTTATTGTTTATTTATTTATTAGATATAGATTTAATAGCTTATTCCATAGAAAGATTGATTTTAGTATATCAATTGAAGAGATAAACCTATCCTTAAATTATTAGAAATGAGGGAATAGTTTTATCCTCTATATTTCCATATATTATTACTATAGTTTATTCTCGATTACCTAATTATACTGATTTATTTCTATCATATCTTTTAATGCTAATAATAATTATTATTATATATATAATCCTCATTATAAAGCCTATTTTATCGAAATTATAGAAATTACTATTCAAAATATTATATTTCGCTCGTATATTCGTAACCAATTGAAACCACTTTTTAATAAACTTAGGATTTTTACAAAAAGCTCTTTGAAAATCATAAATACAACTAAAACACATTTTTAATTCAATTTAACACTTTACAAATCAATACGCTCAAAGCTTTCTAATATATTTCGCACCTCTTAATTCAAGAATATAATTTACTATATTTTTTATATTCTTTAATTTAAATAAAAATCCTTTTGAATTTATATCAAATATATATTAAATAATTATCTTTTTTTCTAATTCTATAATCTTATAATTATTGATTCGAATTTCTATATAAAAAAGTAAATCTTCTATTTTATATTGAAAAATTATATAAAGGATATTATAGAGTATAATAACTTTTTGAATATTTAGTTTTTTATTTTTATAAATAATTTTGATAATAAGAAGTATACAAACTTTTTGATTATTTGAATTTATTATAAGTTATTAATAAAATACATATTGAAAGAGAAAGATGTAAATTGAGGTGAAAGTGGGCCACTTGGTGATATAGGCCACTCGGTGTTAAACTACGTTACAAGTTATGAAGTGTTTTAAAATCTGATTATTATTTTGAATTATAAAATTTTAACTGGTTTATAAGACCATATTCGATCTTAACTGAAGACGGATTTTTTAGCTATAAGATAATATCACCTAATCCAATTAATACGATACATCAAATTCCATATTTCCTCTTCTCCAGGAGAGATAGTTCGCTACTATCATAAAACAAACCCACTAAAAATACACCTACTCTTCATGCTCTTCCTCCACCTCTTTCCCCCTCATCTCTACAACCATATTTTCCCATTACTCAAAAGTTCAACCGGCTGACTATTAACCCTCATCACCCAACCTCTTTTCTGACCGTCGTAATGCATCTTTTCATCTACATCATCCCTATCTTCTTCCTTTCCTTTATTCCATTTATACCATTTTTCTCGCTTATATAATGCATTTCTGTAGAAAGTTGCTCTCCTGTGATTGCCCTATTTTCCTTGTACCATCGATTACCATTGTTTGTATCTTCGAATTTCGATCCATTTGATTTCGATTTGAGATTTTGGAGTTTATGATGACGATGGAAAAGATAGATAGAGATAAGGAAAAGGAGAGGGAGGCAGATGAGAAAGAGGAATATTGCTGGTGGTGGGTGGTTCAGGGGGGCGGATGACGGTGAGAATGGGGCTGTGGTTGGTGGAATAGTGTAATTCGTTGGTATTGATCGATGGAAGTCGGAGGAGGCTGAGGCCGAGGGCAGGGTTGAGGTCGTAGTGAGGAATAGGGAGGTGGATAGAGATATGAATGTGAATGATGTTGATTTTGATGTTGATGTAGATGAATTTGTGGACTAGCTCTTATTAATTATGCTCTAGGGGATAGAAGACATGAGTGCAAGTGACTTACTATTGTTTTCAAGGTTGATAGTATACTAGAGATCGTAGAAGCTTGTGGGCTTTCCGAAGAACTTCCCCCAGAAGTAGATGCCGCAGAAACAATCTCCGTACTTTCCGAAGCTCTCGTCTCAACCCTCGTAGAGCTTGCCGCGGTAGAAGTAACCGCATCGATAATCGAAGCCGGTAGTACTACTGTCATTTTCTGCTTTTGAGAAATGTAGTAGATGCAGGCGTCGTAATTTGGACCACCTGTTTCACAGCAGAAGTAGTTTCAGACTCGCTTGCAACAATTTGATTTGGATTCGCATCCCCAAGCACAAAAAACTTTCCAATGAAAGTCAAACCATTCTTGTTGACTCTATTCGGCGTTTCGTAAAGATTTATCACATGTGTCCCATCTGGTATGGAGGTTGATGGTAACCATGTAAATGAACCTCCATTGATACCAGCTGGTCATAATTAGTGTTCATTTTTGCGGACAGATATGATTGTAAGAATATGAACCTACTAGCGATATTTTCTACAGCTGCAAACTCGTTTCCAGAACTATCCGCATCATTCAATGTGAGATTTTTTAAACCAGCATCACTAGTACCACTCCAAGCAATGGTAAACTTGGTTCCTTGTATTGGATTCCATTTAGTCGTTATAAAATCTGCAATTACTCGACTTGCAAATAGAATAAGAGAGAGTGTACTGCAAGAAACACACAATGGACGTGATAGAGCTTTCATCGTTATGTGAGGGAACTTTTCCCGGCACGACCAATGAGTGAAGGAAAAGTGGAAAAGTAGAGGAGAAAGCACTATAACAATGGTCCCTAGGATATTCATGCATTTCATGTACGAAACTTCTTTTGATTCCTGTGGAACAGTTGGCAATATCCGTAACGTGCCAAAAAAAGAGGGTATAGTAACAGCGAACGAGTTTGAGTCTGCCTATCGAGCTAGGCTTTCATCACAACCCTTCACGTTGGAACTACTCTAGTTTCGCCGCACAAGTTAGCTGGGATTACAATTTGTCTGGACAGGTGTTTGGATACTCGTATGTCCGTTACAGCATTTAAATAGTAGAATTAGTCGTAGAATCTGATATTTTGAGACAACTTGTCCTGCTATTGAGGTTGATCTCGTTGTCTGACATTATCTCGAGCTGGTAGATCCGAGTATCAACATCGAATCATTACGCATAGACAAGATCTGAGACTTCCCAGGTATTGACTATATTTTGCCCCCAACAGCGCGTGTTGGTCATCTTGACTTTATTTGCTTAATAAGCTCAAGAAACAGCTCCGCCTCTCAACGTAGACATAGGGTGGTGTTACAGAGTAGTATATCGATTGTGCATGATCATGAAACCCGTGCCTTTCTTGTCAGACAATTTTCGAATTTAATACGACACCACTTTGGAATAATATATTCCGCCTTGAGGGATCTAAAGGGGCAACACCTAGATCGAACTGGATAATTGTTCCACAGAGGACTTTCTCTTGGCAATGCCAAAATGCGGCAATGAGGTTACACTTCCTTGTGTGGAGAGCCTCTCGGGTCGTCTTGATCCCGGAACAGGTTCTTATGAATGAAGGATGATGAAAAGATATTATCCGGCATAATGACTAACTGAACATTTCAAGATTATATATCACGAGGCCAGATCTCGCTGGCCTCACACTAGAAGGGAAGGGCTATGCTCATATATCTGCCATTAATTTGGTTGTGCGAAGATCATGGGAGCCAGGAGTTCATGGTAAACCAATTGAGAGCCACAACGGGCCCTGTGGACTAATAGAAAATTATACTGAATACATTAAGTACCGACACATGTTCCACCGAAAATAACTAAATAATTTCCTTATGAATCTTTTTTTCAAAATGAGATGAAGCTCTTGCCTCCGATGTATCATATCCTACAAGCGACCTGAGATCACGCCAGACCGATGACCGGCACCGAGTAGCTATACCGAAATTAATTGATCCATGAATGATCGCGTGATATTTTCCTCAAAATTGAATTTGTCCTAATGGATATCCCGAAACATACTAAACTCCTAACCCAAGTCAATAAATCAAAATCCATGACGCGAGTATTATCGCATAGCCAACCCCAAGTCCCAAGCTTCCTTCATTCATACATGATCATTATCGCAACCGACCCACCTAGCGGTGTCTATATCAATCTATTTAATGTCTTCCTCCAATCTCTTCATATGCAGGTGGCGGATCTTGTGTTTCGCCCGGAATCGTAAGTTCATCTTCTCCCGGAACCGCAATCCTAACTCTCGAGGTGTTCGCTCTTGGAATCTCATATACATCGCCCGGCGCAGAAGATGAGCGACCCCGAGTGGGCGCACCAGGCCTCAACATGGACTCGGGTAGCTTCTCGGGCGGGTAAGCATATGGTTCATTCGCGAATGTTGGGTGGAGAGGCTGCTTTGATGTTGGATAAGGCGGATGATGAGGTTGAGAATGATGGCTGAAAGGAGGAGAGGTAGTGATGACAGGCGGGCTATTCATACGTTGTTGAGGAGGTGGTGGAGGAACCCATCGCGTTGAGGATGCGCCGACAGGTGAATGCGCATGTTGTCGCATCTGCGTTTCTGGATGCGGCGCATAATATTCTTTTCGTGGTGGCGGACTGGTATACCTCAGATCCTCTCTACTTCTCCTCTTGTCATCTGTTCGATGATCTCGCTCCCTTTTGTCGTACGTATATTTTCTTTCTGACGACTCTCTTCGTCTGTGTCTGCGCTCCTTACTTCTTTCTCTCCCTCTATCCCTACTAGCATTCCTATCACAAGCACGATCGTACTCCCGGTCGCGAGATTGTCTCCGTCTTCGATGTCCTGGACCGGCGCGATCAGGAGAATAAATGTGATAAGACTGCTCGTCGAGGTCCAAAGCTTCAATCTCGAGGCGCTGCTTCTCCTCTCTGTGTTTTAGATGTTGTTTTAGAAGGTAACCTGCTGCGAGGATTTCAAGACCGCCGAGGATGACCATACTGATAATATTTATCTATATCTCTTCGAAATATAGATCTCAATTCTATGTGCGCAGTATCTTTTGTGCCTCGCTTGGTTAATGTGTATTGTAGTTAGTCCTCAGAAAACGTTGTTGATGTAATATGGAGTAGAGAATGATGATTGAGTCACAAATACAAAACATGATGGCAATATCCAGTCAGCTGCCGGGAGCCGCTCACCTCAGCTCAGCTGATGAATATTTCGAGGATTAACCTTTCTGTTACACGAGAAATTTTCATCCCAACTTCCAACTTCATACCAAGACGGAAACATGGCACAATCGAAATCGGGCTTGTGGCTGCCGTTAGAGGCTGTGCGTGCTTCATTACATCATCTCGATCATGAATGCCAAGATAGTCATGTGACACGGAAAATTGTTCTTACTACCGGCCTTACCGGAATAGATTTGATCCTTGAACAATCTGATCATACCTAGGTAGTGGTGCAATGCAATGCGGCAAGTCAACAACAAGTCTGCGACATATGTCAAATTAATAACTTTAATGGTTGTCAATCGTTGCCAAAGAAATTTCATACCTCTTCGAATTTGTTGATATGACTCTGTTAAGCCATCCTCATTCTGTGTGTTCCTTTGAACCGAGCCTCCTGTTAGACCTACTCGGTCCAAGATCACGTCTCTGATGATCAGTTAAGGCAAGTGGTACATTATATTATCACTCCTCGATTCATTCTCATCGGAACAATACATATCAAAATTTCTGTAGCCGAGGTGCTACTTAAGGTCTTGGTACCTGTTGTGCCTGTCGGGGTATGTCAAATTGTTATACCCAGACTGATATATACATTGCCGCTCGGTTGAAAGTTCGCCGAGTTATGTCAAATGTTAGCACAAAAAGACTTAGAAAAAACTTCTGTCTAAGATCATCATTTGAACCATGCAATTAGCCAAAAAACAAAAACGTTGTACTATCTCCACTATGGCTTCGGATCTCGAGGAATCCACAATGATTGTCTTTCTGATTGCTGGAAATCAAATATCTTCCGAGCCGTCGGATTGCGGGGTGCGTCGGCAAGAACATCACCCCTGGATCACAAGCTTTGTTTACTAAATGATGCTATTTTCAAATTGCTATAATTATAAGAAATAAGTTTTACTATGTAATTATTGTTTAGTTTGCTCACACAAAGTGAAATCATGAGGTTACTAAACATCTTCACAGCGTTGTGTCTCCTGTTGTGGGGTGGAGCTGCTACAAATGATGGATTGACCGATGTTGTAGAATGGGATCCATATAGTTTGACCGTCAATGGCTCTAGAGTGTTTATTTTGTGAGATTCTTCAAAGTGTTTATTCAATTCTTGCTGATTGCCAGTCAAGCTCTGCCGAGTTTCATTATCAACGGATGCCCGTTCCCGAACTATGGCTCGTACGTTTCGTTCCCCCCCAAATCTTACAGAGATCTTACGCTGGTCTAGGATATCTTCCAAAAATTTCGAGCAAATGGTTTCAACACAATTAGGTAGGATCAATGTTGCTCAACTTGAATTGTCTAACTAGTATAGTGTATATTTTTTCTGGTCTTATCACGAGGCCTCGAAAGGAAAATTTGACTTTGAAACATCAGGCAAGAATGTTCAAAGAGTTCTTGATTATGCAAAGGAAGCAGGAATCTGGGTCATTGCCCGAGCCGGGTAAGTTCATTTGGTTCACTACTTAAAATCCTCATTCCCGATGTTCGAATTAGCACACGATTAACTCCTCGTATTCCTGATTTCCATTCATAACTATCAACAAGAGTTATTTACTGACTCCCCGTTAATGCAGACCATATTGTAACGCTGAGACCAATGGTGGAGGTCTCGCGTTATGGGGTTCCGATGGAAGTCTGGGGACTTTAAGAAGCAACAATGCTGTATATTATCAATCCTGGCTTCCATGGATCACGGAAATTGGAGAAATTCTAGCAAAGAATCAAATCACTAATGGAGGAGTAAGATTCATCACATGTGTTAAAAAAGATCAACGCGTGCTAACTCCCAAGATAGCCTGTTATCCTCAACCAGGTTGAGAATGAACTTCAAGAGACAACTCACTCAGCGACCAACTCTTTGGTTCTTTACATGGAGCAAATTAAAGCTGCGTTTCGAGATGCTGGCATTACTGTCCCTCTTAGTCATAATGAGAAAGGTCAAAGAAGCATATCATGGAGTACTGATTATCAAAATGTTGGTGGCGCTGTGAATATTTATGGTTTAGATTCGTGTGAGTACATTACTGATGCTTAATATTTTTTTGGCTCTCGTTTTATCTTCTCTCTCTACGAATCAGCTGACAAAATAAAAATGTAGACCCCGGTGGATTGTCATGTACTAACCCTGCCTCTGGTTTTAATCTTGTTCGCAATTATTATCAATGGTTCTCAAATTACTCCTACACACAACCAAACTACTTTCCAGAGTTTGAGAGTGGTTACTTTACTCCATGGGGTGGTAGCTTTTATGATGATTGTCAATCTGAACTTTCACCTGCTTTTGCAGACGTCTATTACAAGAACAACATTGGGCAGAGAACAACTCTTATGAGCTTGTATATGGCTTGGGGTGGTACAAATTGGGGTCATTGTGAGTGTGTCTTGTCAACACAAATGAATTGATTCTAATCTTCTGAATAGCCGCAGCTCCAGTGGTGTACAGTTCTTACGACTACGCAGCTCCTCTTAGGGAAACTCGTCAAATTCGAGACAAACTTTCCCAAACCAAACTTATTGCGCTTTTCACCAGAGTTTCTACTGATCTGCTCAAAACAGATATGATCGGTAATGGTACTGGGTATAGTGTACGTATCTCATTGTATAAACAGACATACAAAGAAACAAAACTGATGAATAATAGGTATCTTCAACTGGTATTTGGTCATGGGTTTTGCGGAACCCAGATACCCAAGCTGGATTTACAACAGTCCAACAAGCAACCTCCAGCTCAACAGCATCAGTAACTTTTGATGTATATCTAAATACATCCTTGGGTGCGGTGACTGCTTCGAATGTTAATCTAAATGGCCGTCAAAGTAAAATTCTTGTCACGGATTATACATTCGGAAAGCATACACTCCTTTTTGCATCGGCGGATATCCTTACATATGGTGTATTCGATGTTGACGTTTTAGTTTTGTATCTCGAAGAAGGACAAGTTGGTCAATTCGCATTCAAAACTAACAAAAAATTGACCTATCAAGTTTATGGAAATTCTGTTTTCGCAGCAAACTCCACATCCAACTATACCTCGAGCTCACAAACATTTACATACACCCAAGGATCTGGTCAGACAGTAGTCAAATTCTCCGATGGAGCTTTGGTATATTTACTCGATCAACCTTCAGCATGGAAGTTCTGGGCTCCAGCGACAACGTCAAATCCTCATGTCAAGCCAGATGAACAAATATTTGTTCTAGGACCATACCTTGTACGAAGTGCAACCACGTCTTTTGGGGTGGTTAATATTTCTGGCGATGTCGACAAAACTACGAATATTGAAGTCTTTTCCGGAAATGAATTAATTGAGGTTATTGTATGGAATGGCTTTCCATTATTCACAACAAAGACGAAATATGGTTCATACATCGCGAAACTTCCTGGTACTGAAGGTAGAATTGTTCACTTGCCAAAATTAACCGATTGGGAATCTGCGAATTCTCTTCCGGAAAAAGAAACCTCATACGACGATTCAAAATGGACTGTTTGTAACAAAACAACTACATTGAGTCCAATTGCTCCAGCGACTCTCCCTGTCTTATTTTCAAGTGACTATGGATATTATACCGGACCTAAAATCTACCGTGGATATTTCGACGGCTCAAATTACACATCGATTAATATCACCGCATCGGGAGGTTTGGCATTTGGATGGTCTGCCTGGATAAATGGTGTTTTGATCGGTGGAAACACTGGTAATGCGACTGCAACAACTACCACTGCCATTCTCGATCTCTCAGCCCACACTTCTATTATTAGACTCACCAACAATCTTGTCACAGTCGTAGTAGACTATCACGGACACGACGAAACATCCACAGCGAAAGGAGTCGAAAATCCCCGTGGTATCCTCGGCGCATCTCTCCTACCAAAACCAAGTAATTCCACCGGCTTCAAACTTTGGAAAATACAAGGAAATGCAGGAGGTAGCGCAAATATTGATGCAGTACGTGGTCCTATGAATGAGGGTGGTTTCTACGGCGAGAGACTCGGATGGCATTTACCTTCTTCTCCTTCTTTGCCTTCAAAATCCACTCCTTTCGTTGGTCTGAATACTTCTGGAATCTCATGGTATTCTACAACTTTCAATTTGGCGCTCGATGCAGATCTCGATGTTCCGCTTGGAATTAAGTTTTCCGCACCAGCGGGCACTGTTGCCAGAGTTATGTTCTGGATTAATGGTTACCAATACGGAAAATACGTACCACATATCGGGCCGCAAACAGTGTTCCCTATTCCACCGGGAATCATCAATAACCGGGGAAAGAACAAGTTGGCGATTAGTTTGTGGGCGATGCAAGACGAGGGTGCGAAATTGGATAGTGTGGAGTTGGTTAGTTATGGGGTTTATGAGAGTGGGTTTGGGTTCAGTAGGGATTGGAGCTATTTGCAGCCTGCGTATAGCAGTGATAGGTTGCAGTATGCTTAAAGTGGAGGATTTGGAGGAAGGAGATATAGGGGAGACATGATGAGGAGAGATATTGCTTGAAATATTCTTGCGGAGAAAATGAATTTCCAATTAATTTTTAGTCTGATTTGTCTGTCCCTTTATTCTTCATTCTTCTCTTGACAATACTTCTCATCATGATCACACACTTCTATTCCTCTTTCCTCTCTGCATGTTTTCCATCACTACATATAATAAAATTCACGTTTTCTCATCTGTCACCAAGCATCTTCCTAAGGGAGAACATTCCGTCAAGTATGAACATAAATACCCTAGTACATATATCTTCAACCAAGCAAGCGCTTCTGCAGATACACTATTCCATCACAAAAGATTGCAGAATAAACAAAATAATGTATCAACTACATGGGATACTGATTCCCATAATTTTAATCGGAAGACTTCTTCTCCTCTTCTTTTCTTCTTTTCTTCTTTTCTTCGCAATGGAGTAATCGATTCTAAAACTCTGAGAACTATATAATCACTCCATATGGATCTAAATCTTAAATCTTAAATCTTGAATCTCAAGTTTAAGATGGTCAAAGGAGATTAAAGTGGAAGAAAAATGTTAGTTAAATGGGTAGACTCATTCATGAGACATATCATATCATAGAGATGAAGATGAGATAGATGAGATATTTCCGTGCCTGTGGGGCTGGGGTTTATTCGATATTTGATGTGCTTGACATTACGATACTTGTTACTATATAAACGGAAAAAGAAAATAACAAGTTAAAAATTAAAAAGGAAAAAGGAAAAAGGAAATAGTAAATAGATGAGTTTAACATCTTTGGAATAATGAATTATTATCTAATCTCTCCAAGTTTTCATAGTTAGTTATGGAGTTTATTGATTAATTAGGTATTCATGATCGTTCTTGATCTAAATCTTCGTATTGTTACTAATTCCCTCAAAGCTCTCTACTATCCCTTCCTTCTCTCATCTAGAACTCGTAGACCAACTTCTTATTCACTATCTTATTCTTCATCTACTCAGGTCTCGCATTTTTTCTCCTTCTACTCTATCGAATATGCTTCTTATTTTTTTGTTCTTCTTTCTCTCTTTCCTTATCCCCTCCATGTCCTCTTCCTCCTCTCCCCACATAATCCTCTCCAGTCTTGCCTTCCCGCCCCTCCCCCCTTCCTCCACACCTCCTCCACACCTCCCACAAACCCATTCATCGCATTAATTACCTATCGAGTATCTCGATTTCAATCTCCATCTCCATCTCCATCTCAATTCTTCAGCTTAGACTTAACGATCGATATAGATATAAACATAAACATAAATCTATACATCCATCTCGATATGCAAAGACACGCCATACTACCCAACTCTGGAAATCCATCAGTGCCGAAGGAAATGCAATCAATTTTAGAGGAAGAAGTAAGCACATCAGATTCCCAAGTGTCGTTGAGATATTGCATATCTATATCTATTACTTCCATAACCTGTCTTCTTAAGCAAATCTCTCTAGAACATCTCGGTATCTATATCCATATCCCCTCGATTCACCATTCCAATCCGATCAATTATCTTCAGCTCGTTCCTCAGAAACTCAATCAATTAATCGTCTCCTATCCATCTTATATTCCTATCTTCTATCCTGCTGGTCCTTCTTGAGCTGAATATTTCTAGTTATCTCTAGCAGTATCTCTCGATATCGTCTTTCCGGGGATCGGTCTTCTAGATTTCAGATACTCTATCGGGATCTTGGAATTTGCGATGGATCTTGTAGCGGTTTGATGATGGGTGGACTTTTCTCGTTCAGTGGTTTCGATATCGAAATCTGTATCCTCATGCTGCAAATCTTCTTCTTCTTCTTCCTCGACATCGTTACCATCATTTACCACGCCAACAAAAGAAGACATACGCGAATCAAGAGATACCTCTTCTCTTTCTCTTTCCTCACTATGCTCGTAGTCAAAATCATTTTCTTCTCTCCTGAACTTCTTCCCACGTACTCCCTTACCCAAAACATTAGATTTACCATCTCCACTCTCTTCCCGTACATCATCACATCCATCGTTCGTCTTCAACACCTCACAAACCCCTCCTCTCTTTTCCATCACACCCATACTCTCAAATGCAGTAGTCCCCTCCCCCGCGCTCAAATTATCCTCCAGATTATACTCTTCACCAAGAATGCGATCACAAATCGATGTTCCGGTATCAACATATCCAGTTCCCTCCATCCCCCCTCTTCCGTCGTCATCACAATCACTCCTATCGAAACTATGCGATGCAAACGAATGACCCCGCAAAGACACCCTCTCCACATCCTGAAAAACTGCCGATTTCTCTCTAAACCTCTCGCCAAAAGTTCCTTTCCTCGTAATTCTCGCTGTTGATATAATTCTCCTCTTCGAATTTGAATCTTTCTCCTTCTCCTTCTTTTCCTCCCTTTCCCTCTCATCCTCACCCCAACTCCATTCCCTCTCTCCTTCAATATCCAAGCCCCGCTCTTCCGCTCCCACACTCTCATCCACCGATCCCCCATCCCCTATATCCTCCGAAATCTTTTCCATTTTTCTCAACGTGCTATTGCGTTTCATTCCCTGCGCACGTCTCCTTACATCTCTTTCTATCTCGTACTCTCGTATATCGTTCGCGTGGGCATTTTCTAGAGTCCACTTGAAGACCCCAGGATTGTATTTTCTTTCGCGAAGACTTGTATATTTGCTATGTGAGGATGGCCGTGGTATCTGGGAAAGAGAGGTAGCCTGTATCTGTTTTTGGTCTTGTTCCCGTTCCAGCCCAAAATCAAAATCAAACTCTCCGACAGTATCAGAACTTTTTCGGCCATACGTAGAGATGCTAGAGTACGAGGAAACTCTTGCCATCCCCTCTTTCGTAACGCTTTCTTGCTCATTTTGAGTATCAAATGCGTGATCGATGTTTGTGTTTGTTGTATTTGGTGGGCGAATAATGGGAGATGGATGCGGGAGATTGTGTGTGCCTGTAAAGTCAGTATTTTCCCTGCATTATCCATATCATCGATATTTCTTTGTCTGAAAGCCAGATTTGAGAAAGGGAGTTGATAAGTCACATCATTTGAGGTCTCAGCTGATCTTGCTCTCTCCGACTCCATTTCCATCTTAAATTCCCAGAAATAGATATGCATGCACGCACGCACAAATGCACAAATGCAAAAGAAAAAAATATAAAAGCAACTCACCAGGAATAACCCCCACAACCAAATACGCCTTCCCCCTCAACCCCTCTCCCTCTCTCTTCCCTCCCTTCCCCCACATTCTCCAATTCTTCCTCCCCTTCCCCCCCGAACCCACCCTCCCATACCTCCCCCTCGTAACCCAATACAACGCACTACACCTCCCCAACAACTCCTCCAAACAAAACACCACACTCCCCCCCTCCCTCAACACCACGCCCCCCACCTCAAAAATCTGCACTCCCCCAATCCTCCTCCCCTCCTCCCGCGCATCCTCTGCATTATCCCACAAACTAACCTTCGAACTCTTTCCCGCTCGCCATACCCCCGGGACAAAGATGGAATTCGAGGGTGTGGATGCATACGCGCTTTTCTCCGAGAAATGGTTTCGGACCAGCGCGAGGATTTCTCTCGGAGAGCTAGGAAGTGGAGTCTGTGTATCTTTCGCAGACCAGCCGTGCTCAGGTGGATTGTAGGATTGAGAGGAGAGGAGATGAGTAGCAGGGGATGAGTGGATATCCATCCAATTTTCCGTACGATGAAGTCTGTAAAAAACTTCTGGAAATGATTCCGGCGCGAGAGAAAAGGGATACTGGTATCCGGGGATCACTTGCTGATTCAACGGAGTTGATGGTGTCTATCACACTGTTAACGAAATATTCAGATGGAAATCAAGATCGAGATTACTTACATTTACCAAATCATCAATGTGTCCAGGATGAGACGTATCCATAATCGGCGCAGAAATAACCAACTCGTGTCTTCGTTCTAGTTTTACTCTTCGTTTTCGACACTTGAACTCGAGATTGAGATTAAATTTGAAAGGACATCTAGTCTTCAGATCCTCTTTAAACTTTTCAAAAGACCATCGACTCGCAGACGTACGAGTCGGCGATTTGAAATTTCGCGATCGGAATCGAAACCGAGATGAAAAACGAGGTCGAAATCGAAATCCTCTCCTACCAACAAACCCCCCCTTCCTCCTCCAACCCTCCATCGACCTTTTCCCCCCTCCAAACCCCTTCTTTCCAATTTTGAATCTCCCAACCCACAATTTAATTTTCGCCTCCCTCGTAAATCTCCCATCCGCATAACCCAGTTTCCGGGATCGACACCACGAAATTCGTTGCCACGAAAGAGGGACACACATCTCCTCGCTCGCGTGACCGTATTATATTTCCGATTTCGTGTTTGCAGTCTTGAGGTTTCGCGATCTTTGCTATTTGGATTCGAATCTTATCAAAAAAATGAGATCATTCAGTATGAGAAGTGTGGTGAGTGATGAGTAATGTAAGTGTATCGAGAAATCGCCACAAAACACCCTCTTGAGAAAAATCCAATCCAATCCAATCTGCTCTGATCTAATCCCAATATCCCACTTCTTTCGTCTCTTTCCCTTTTCCTCCTCTTAGACGCGAAAGAGAGAAAGAAAGAGAGAAAGAGAGAAAGAGAGAAAGTAGATATAAGTAGGTATCTAAACATCAAATTCTCTATTCCTTATTCTATTTCATTCCATACTCCTTTGTTCTATATCTATCCACCATCAACCATCCACCATCCATCTCCTATTCATCTTTCCAGCCACTCCCTGTTCTCCTCTTCGCTCGCTTCGGTGGGGTGCAGAAAGCGAAACGCGTATTGCTTTATATATTTAGCGCAATGAATCACCACAAACAAATTTCTTTCTTTCTTTGATTTCACATCTTCATATTCATGTTAATTCTCGAATAGAAGAAAGGAAGAAGGTATTAGAAGTTATAAGAAAGTATAAAAGAAGAATATGAAACAAAATCACAAACCAAAAACTTTCCACAGCATATCCAACATGAAAACGAATCAACTTCTTTCCACGCGACAATATTTGCTTGTATATTTGATGCTCATGACACATCCAATCTGAACTCAACATTTCTAGATTCTTTGACGAAAGTCTTGTGATTTGAATAGATGTGGAGATAGATTATGAAACGAAATTTTGGGAGGAAGAAACACCTTGCAGTTTTGTTGCAACTTACTTCACAGATTGACATCAACAACAACCCAATCATCAACCCTAAGATCAACCGTAAGATCAAACCTGAGATCAAGATCTCATGGCCCCATGACCTTCTCCTCACAAATCAAAATGATATTTCTGATGTTTCCATCTATCCCATGATCCTTCCATCTTTCTATCTGTAGAACTCTTTCACTCTCTTCCTCTTCCCATCCCATCGTTTGTATCATATCATGACACCAATTCACTATATAAGTACTTACTAGGTAGTCTCTTCCTCTCTTACCTTCTAACTCACCTCTTTAATTCTCCTCCCATAAATCGCTCTCCCTTTCCTCATACCATAACGTTCCTTAAATCATCGTCTCAATCACACCCTCCCTCCCTCACATCTCCATCCACGATGTCCAAACACAACGACCCCAACGTCCCCATTGATCCCACAGAGCAAAAATTCGAATCGGTGTCCCTCCCCCAAATCTCCATCCATTCTGAATCCGATTCCCCATCACCATCGCTAACCTCTCCACCATCCCCTTCTTCCTCTCTGCACGCAAGCTCTCTTTCCTATTCTGGCGATTCTCCCTCCTCTCCTCCCTCTCCTTCTCTTTTTCCTCCTTCGCTTTCCCTCACATCTCTAGAAATCGAATCAAAATCAAATTCAGAATCAGCATCACACGCATCCACAAACGTATCAAACAAACCCACCCCCCCAGCTATGCCATCTACCGAACCTCCACCAAGCTCTCCAACCCCCCACCAACCCGCTCTCTCGCTCTCCCTCACCATCCCGCTCCTCGCATTCACCTCCCACAAATCCCCAACTCCACTCCTCAATTGCGGATCCATAACTTTCAGTCCCGAGGAGCTAGTCGATGCTAGCTATGATTTTTTGGTGGCGAAGGTGATGATTTCTATCGAAAAGATTCTTTTGTCGCAGAGAGATGAGGCGCCCAAACATGCTGAGTGGATGGAAGGTATGTTGAAGTTCCTGATTTTTGGTGGGTCTAGCTAACAGGTGAGATGAGATAGGAATTGGGGATGGGGGAGAAGGATCGATGGGCGATGGGATTATAGGCACCGAGTTTGATGATATTGGTGATTTTCATGGGGGGATTGGGGGAGATACTCTTCCTCATGCCCCACTAGGAAATCGAGGGAGTGGAGTAGGAGACGTAGGCCTAGGGAGCGCATTGAGACATGAAGGAATATCCAACCTCCGCTGTGGAGTTTTAGAGATGTTTGGTCAAAGTAAGAGCAAGGAATTAAGGGATAAGAAAGATCGGAAGAGGAGGTGGGAGTTCCAGATTTATGAGGATCCGGTTGATCGAGAGCCTGGAAGACCTGAAGCTGCGACAATCTCAAGGCCGTCTAGGGAGAGATTAGCCAATGAAAGGGAGCAGATAGATGGAGGACAGCGAGTGAGAGAACATGTGGGAGAGGACCAAGAAAACGAGGAAACGGGGGGGAGTCGACAGATACAAACACGACCGAATGAGAATGTTGGAGAGATCGCGAACGACGCACAGTCTGGAAAACTCCATCCTACCAATTCTTCACTTCCTCCTCCCACACAATCAAGAACCCCCCTCGCCACTCTCTCCTACCTCCCCAAACCCAAAGAATGCAATCCCACCACCCTCTACATCCACTGGACCCCCGAACCTCTCATCCCTGCCGAATATATCGAAAGAACCACTCGTATGTGTCCTACTGTACATGTCAGCTCATCAAGAATCTCACAGTTCCATCCATCGACTTCTGGAGATGAGGATGGGGATGGTAGGAACATAGTCAAAGAAGTTGATGATATACACACGGAGGGTGAAAGTAAAGAAAAAGAAGAAGAAGAAGAAGCAGCCAAAAACCCTCCCATCCCAACCCTCAGCACCACTCCCACTCCAAACAACCCCGATGCCATCAAACCCTTTTCCACAACATCAACATCAACAACCCCCGCGGAGTCCGAAAAACTAAATCTCACAATCCTCCACGCCTCCTTCCCCACGCACGCGCAATTTACCGATGCATACGGAAACGGAGACGGAGAGGAGATGAACTCGGAAGGAATCCGAGAGCTACTGCGATTTGTACGAGAGAGAGGAGGGAGAGATGAGTTGATTGTGGAATATGTTCTTTTGTAGCTATGCTATGGGCGATTTGTTATTCGAAAAAGAAAAACAATTCTGATCAAGGAAATTTGAAACCTATTAATAAAACAAACCATCAGATGAAGTTGTGAATCAACTAGCTAGAAACTCAATTCAATTCAATCCTCACTCTATACACCTAGCCAACTACCTAGGTACTTTTCTAAGTTTCTCGAGAATCATCAATCGTGACAATTGATTGGCCAACCACAACTTTCTACCAAAAGCCAAAAAAAAAGCACCTCGCCGGAAATAACCTCAAAAGCCATCCTTATTCCCAGTTGATGCAATTCTTAAAATTTTGGCTTGGAAAAGGTAGGATGGAAGAGTGAAGACCGAACAATTTTTCAGATATGCAACAAAACGAAACTTGACGAACTGTCACCGTCCACGTGATTTATGGCAGAATAATTTTGTTTTGTTGCAATCATTGTCCGCTCCAACACTTTTGCTAGGTATCCATTGGGGGTGATTGATTGAATGTATTAGTAGTGAGTTAGAGAGTTCACATCATGGTGAATGTTGACTGAAAATCATATGTTAGTAATAGAATATTGTGAAAAGAAATTAGTCGTAGTCTACAACTGGACAAATTTATTGATAGTGACGACTGGGAGGCCGAAGCAGAGTATAATCGAAAAGAACGGCTACGTCCACAGAGGAAACAACAATGAAGTCATTTGTTGCTATGTTGTGTGATCTGTGTTTTGCTTTGCTTTACTATCCTGTCGCGAGATGCCGTGTAAATCTGTACAGGCAGGATAACTGAAGAGGCCTCCAGGGATCGATGGTTCGATTTCATTTCCACAAAGATTGAGTCATTCGTTAAATTGTGATATGATTCGATAGTTTTGATTTTCCGACTTGGTTGCATAATGTTCGTAGATCCTCTGCTTCCTTAACAACCCATCATAACACAGAAGGGTTAGAATAACAAACGGGATATGTTGTGCATCAAACGGAGATTGGATGATTGGAAGAGGAGATTGATCAATCAACCAGACTAACCATTCGTAAAAAGAAATGGGTGCGAATGATGTCAATAATATCAAGAATAAGCAGACAAACATATTCGAACATCTGAATGAGCCAGTCGTATTATATGTACCTGCATATAAAATACACACCTCAGCATAACAATCGGGAAAGCACTTGCTCTAGATGTGCTTCTATTCATTCAATCAGACAAGGTGTAGAAAAAACATCGAAAGATCTGGACCTTCTCTTCCGCATACGCCGAAATACCCCTTGCTCTCAACGCGTCGATCTTGTACAACGCTGCAGTGGCAAAACCTTCACTAATATCCATCCTGAACATAATATGGCATCTCTTCTCGGGTAGGCGGCTGAAACGGGATACCAAGACGAGCATCTCAAAGAATCAAGTACCCGTCGGAAATTGAAATGATTAGTTGCATCAACTAGGAGTAAACCACACCAGGAATAATTAAACTTCGGTTTGTACACTCCGAAATCTTTTTGCAATTGTGTGAATTGCCATGTCACTTGAGCATCATGGATTCTTCTCTGGCACACTCCGAATGGACCGATTTTTTAAGTCTTTCATGTATTTTTTTCTTTTCAAGAGGAACGAGATCCTTGAAATTGTTGTTTGACTGCATGAGAGATTCTTCCCTACAGTAGTAAGAGATCCTTCCCCGCAGCAAGTAATCATGCATGGTTGCCGTATGCAGGTACAACAAATGATACATTGGTCGATTTCCAACCGGAAAAGATATTCTATCATTCGTGTCTCGGAAGATTTTTGAAGAGAAATTCCAATGTCTAATTGCAATGAATACAATGCAATTTCTGCTCGATAATTAGAAGTGAGAATCGGAAGAAGTGTCTGGAGTTTAATTGTAAACTTGGATGTGAAGTTGGAATGCATGATGAAGAGAGATGCATCTTACCCCTCTCGTGGAATGGATGCTGGAATAGAAACAATTACACTTATCAGCCAGTCAGCCAGCCAGCTCCTTACCGCTCGGTTTCCACCATCACCCCGGATTTTCTTTGTGATCTGTGGGATCCAGGGTATGAAAAGCTGGCGTTTTTGATGTAACGGTTATGAAAAGTCATTGGTGGGGAAAAGGTAATTGATATGATAAGGAGAGTGATATTAATGTTAATGCAAGGTTAATGCGGGAGAAGCTCGTCGTTGCGGTTGTGATTGTTTGTTTTGCTGCAAAAGAAAACAAATTGTAATGTTGTCTGTCGTGTGAGATGGCTGGAGCTGGAGCTGGAGCTGGGTAAATTAAAAGAACCAAGAGAATTGGGCCAAGTATTATTGTGATTGTGATTGTACTTCGTATACGAACGGAATACATTACCCCGTAATGAAGATGAGAGGCAAAAAGAATTGAGTCTTGTTCGATCCACTTCAATAATAAAGTTTGGAATATTGATTTCTTGGTGAGTGGAGATGAATTGATGAATGAGCGAGTGAGTGGGCGATGGAGCGGTCACGAACGAGTACCGCTATCTATGTATTAAAAGAATGAATTTCTTCTCTATCTGGGGATTCTATTCTTTTTTTTTGATTGTCGCGTCATGCTGAAACTTTTTTTTTTTTATAACCTTTCCTGATATTGAAGTGGCTTATCTTTCGTCGTCTGGTAGTCGTTATATAGTTATCTTTATTAGTTAACGTTACCGGTAGAAGTTGTCATGGCTAGGAGTAGTAGGAGTAGTAGGAGTAGTAGGAGTAGTAGGAGTAGTAGGAGTAGTAGGAGTGGTAGGAGTGGTAGTCGGTCGGTAGAAGTGGTGGTAGTATATCTATATCTATTAGTCTACCACCGTACAAAGTAAGTAAGTTTACCCCTGACGCTACTGCAAGACCGAAGAACGAACTTGTAAGGGATCTAGTACTTCGTAGTTGAGCAAACCACATCATATCAGATCACTACTAGAAGGGAAAGAAAGGGAGATTCAGATAACTATCAATCTCTTTTATGATGAATAAATGAATGAATGATTGGATTGATGAATTGTGAACCAATTGATTATATAATTCAATACTATACGACAATAAGAGAAGTAGAAGATATTTAATAATATTTAACGATATTACTTCTTGATCATGAGATTATCTCCATGTGATTCAATCATGTATCGTAGGTAAAATCGATAAAGATATCAAGGAAAATGCTTGTGAATAGAAAATCAAGCGAAGAAATGACAGACGGATAGAATAGACAACCTCCTTTTACCGTTTTTTGACAGTCAACTTACTTAATTACATTATATTAAATCTTCTTCTTCTTTTACTTCCTTCTCTCCTTCTCCTTCTCCTTCTCCTTCTCCTACTCCTACTCCTTGTCCTTCTCCCTCCCCTTTCACAAATAGACTACACCACTCATTATCAAATCGTCCCTCTTGTGCCCAGTTATCCAAGTGCTGCCAAGACCAAACATTTCAATCCATTTCTCCATTTCTCTCATATTACTACTTACTGTACAGTGGTTATATGGATAAGTCGTGTAAAACACTAATTAACCCACATTTAGTTGGGATATCGAAATACATAGATTCAATTGATTTATTCTGTTTGTTTTGATATTGCTTTTAAAACCCTATTTTGAATCAATTCTAGAAAATACTTTTAGGAATTGTTATAAGAAATATTATTTTTAATATTTTTTTATAATGAATATATTAAAAAAGAATAATATTTGAATTAATCAAAATGAAAGAAGTTAATTTATTATTATTTAATTTATTATTGATATTCTTAAATATTAAATCTATATTATTGTTTATTATATTATTATTATTTTGTATATCTGAATATTAAGAAATAACTAAAAATCAATAAATCGAAGTATATATTTTATATTGTATTAATATGAAATTTAAAGAAATTCAATCTTTTTTTTTAAAAAAAAAGTAAATCTGATATACAAACAGATTTATTATATTATTAAAATATGAGCAACTTTTTAGAAACATTTTGATCAATCTCTTATTTTGATTATTAATTAAATTGATTAATTTATTCAATTTATAAGTAAATCAAAAACAAATAGGTATATATTATATTAGAAAATTGCTTTTATATTATCTTAAAAAGGAATAGGGGAGTTCATTATTTGATTTGCTTTATATAGAATAAAATATAAATATTATATTGCTTTTCGAAAATCTTTTATATTAAAAAATAATCAACAAATCCGATTACAATTTATATTAGATTATATTCATTAAATTGAAAAACAATGGAATATTATTTTATAATCAAATAAAATATAGATAATTATAGAATCATATAAAAAGATATATGTTATATATCAAAAGAATAAAGCTCTTAATTTTATATATATATTAGAAAGAGAGTATAAAAAAATCAAATAAATATTTTAAAACTGTTTTTCAAGTAAATCAGATAAAGAACCAGGTATATTTTGGGAAAAGAATTAGGGTTCTATTAATACTAAATTTTATCAAATATATATAATACTTATTATATATGATTAAATAAGATTGAACTTGGATTATATATTTATACAAAATAATATATCAGATTATTCTATAGAAACTATTATTCAAGCTTTTCTTGAAAAAAGGATTGAAAAAATGAATTAGTCTTTCTTTTCTCCTGATCTTAATCCTATTGAAAATATATGGAATTAAATGAAAGAATAAATATAAAATTATTATTCTATTAATAAAATGAATTATAATATACTTAAAAAAATTATAAAAAAGGGTTGGAAAACAATATTAAAAGATTATTTAATAAAATTGCTTAAAATTATAAAAGAATATTACAAAATAATAATTACAATAAATAAAATATATATAAGATTTTAATATAATTTAATATATTCAGATATTTCTTTATAATATTTTGATATATTAAAATTCATTATATTAATTTTCAAAGAATATAATATTTTAATTGGTTAAAGCCCTTGTATATAGGGAAAAGCATGGCCGCTTTTTGGTGTGTTTTATAATACTTACCCTTACAACCATCGTACAAGTGTTTGGCT